TCGCCGTCGAGATGGAAGTGGCTGTCGCCTACCCCGCCCTCGCCGATGAGGTGCGTCGAGATCGTGATCTTCTCCCCCGAGTCGGCAGCCGGGTACCGCACCGTCATGATAACCTTCTTGCCGACCTTCTTCCCTCCGGATAGCTCAGCGGCCACGAGGCCTGTAAGGAGCAGGAAGAAGAAGACGGAGAGGAGGGTCAGGTAGCAGAGCCGAGCCATGGCACACTACAGACGGACGGAACGAGGAAGCTACTTCTTGCAACTTCAACTGCGTGAACTAATTGTGGCCGGCCAAGCGAACGAGAGAAGCATATATGGACCGGCAAGGTAAGAGCAGAGCCGCGTGAGCTGCGTGAACTACCGCCGATGCGTAGTTCCCACTACCACTGTGGGTTTTAGGGAGGGACGTTGGTGTTCTACGGTGAATCCCAATTGTGATGTTAGGACTCTTGTTGCTGCGTGTAACTTTGTATGGCCAGCCACGCACTGCGCGCCACTCATCTGCCAAACAAATACCAGCAGTGCATGTGCATGCATGTGCCCAAAAGATTTACCAGCAGCAGCAGCATGCAGTGTGAGCTCCAATCTACTCAGCCGTAGTGTTGCAGGCCGTAGCCCGTAGGGCGTGATTATGCATGTGCCAGCTCTTGCAAGTGCTAGTTCAACGTGGGTGTCATCAGCAGCAGCTTATGGGCATGTCATGGAGCCGTTCGCCTCAACTCACAGTTTGACTACAGAGTGTGTGTTGAATCAATGCATGTGGTTTCTGTTTGCTTGCTCAGTCAGTAGTTGGAACTTGGAAGTTGAAACACTTGTACCCTTGTTTCACAATGCAAAGCTCTCTTTTGGGGGAATCACTGTAAAAGGCTGTCCGTAGATATTTGCAGCATGTAGTTTAATTTGCACTCCCTCCGTTCACTAATATGAGATGTTTTGAATATTTTAATATGGACCACATACGGGCTGAAATAAGTAAACAAACACAGTAAAATGTGTCTATATACATCCAATTTAGAAAAAAAAATAAAAACATCTTCCAATTCGGAATGGATGGAGTATTAAGATTTTTCATTATTTTTTCATTTGATCTAAACCGACCCTCTCCCACCTTCTCTAATTTCTTTTTCCTATACACATTATTTCCTTTATTATGATATATGCATATGTGATTTAGTAACTGCTTAACTAACATTTAACAACAATGATGTGTTGATATTTCTAAGCAACAAAAGATATTATGGGAACATGCTAGTAATCTGGGACGAGAATTTGCGCACGCAAGTGCATGGCACTTAGGTCCCTGGTTTCGGCTATTTACTTTGGCTTTCGATTTTCAAAATTCTATATCTTGTAAACAAAAATCCAAATTAAGTTATGTTTCCATATTCGTGTTTCTCGTGACCAGCGCTTTGAAATAAGATCCATTTTGAATATATTTTGATGAATTTTAAAAAATATGTTAAGTTTCAATGTTGAAATTTAGTACGAGCAACTAATACAAATCAATTATTTGTGTCTACGATCGACAGAAAAGTTGCTTAAAATTGTACATCTGAAATCTGAGATTTGTTGAAACTAGCCATTTTTAGATGCAAAAACTGTAAGTTTTATCGTTGAAACTTAATGCTTTTTGAAAGATTTTTTTTTCTGTGCCCTCGTGCGGGACTCAATTACTTCGCGAATCGTGAGGAAGATCGAGCGGACGATAAGGCTGGGCAGGTGAGTGCCCCCGCACTTACTTGCCCCTGCGAATTTCCGTAGTAATCTGCACATCGTTTACGAATCACTGGCGCTACTTCAACTTTGGTTTGAGCGTCTGCCTCAACTGTCTCATGTCATGAGAAGTACCACCACCCGAAGTGTGGGTAGAATGCATGTGGCTTGTAGTTGCTCGTCAGTGCTCGGTACGAAGTTCAAACAGATTCTTTGTTTCACGGTAAAAGGGTTGTTCACTAATGTTTACTGGATTTTCACAGCCTGTAAAATTCTTTACTCACTCATTATTTTTCTTTTATTCATGGATCTCCATCATGTTTCCCTGTTTCTTTTGCTGCATGCACAGTTGTCTTTGTTGTGTACTACCTCCCTCCCATAAAACTTGACATTCTAAGATACAAATTTTGTCCAACAAAACATTTCACTATCGCTTTTTACATGATTTCACATTTGCTTTACTAAGATCAACATTCTAGAAGTAATAGAAGATCTTTCTAATGGAGACCACGCCACACCGCATAATAAACCACAATCGCTGGAACTACTAGATGATGAATTCGATAATATCTCCGAGGACGAACCTACTGGCCGCGACGCCATAACAAGCTACTAAAACAGATTACGAAAAAAGACAAGCTACTAAAACAGGCTAGTGATACACTCCTTGCTGCCATCCTCTCCATTGTTTATTCCGTTCATCGACAAGGACACAAGGTCATCAATGGCCTCGCCAGTTAGGCACAAATGCTCCTAAAGTTCATCGTTCGCCTTGGACGTGTGAGCTCGAGAGTGGAAGGCATCCACAACGATTCTTCTGCACCCCAGAAGCGAAATTTAATAAGCATGGTGGGTGGTAGCAAGCAAGCAGCGCAAGTAAAGCAAAGTTCAATAGTATGTGGACATGAATGTGAGGACTGAGGAGGATGCATACGGATGGTCGTCGCCAAACTCGATGCGGCCGTCGTAGCCGGCTCGGCCGCCGGTTTTCTCCGCACCGCGGGCTGACATGCGGTTCAGAAACGCCGACTCCTCGTCGGTGGCCGGCCGGATCCTGAAGCCTTCGCCGGATCCTTGAGCCTGATGCTTCTCCGCCCAGCGGTTCAGCCACCGCGACTGCTCCTTGGTTGGATACCGCACGCGGATCTTGATGCCTCCTTCCTCTTGACCCACGGCTGCTGCCGAGGCGGCGGCGGAGGCGAGGCTAGCTAGCAGCAGGAGGGAGATGGGAATGGAAGATAGGCGTGCCATCTCGCTTCTTTGGCAGACTGATCTTGCGGAGAGATGTTCTGTTTCTTCGACTGAAGTGTGGCCTGGACTGGACGTTCAATATATGGACGAGATGCAAGTGCAAAGTGTTGCGCTGATAGTACAATTTAATAAGATGTGTTTGTAAGAGTTGTCCTCTTACCCGAGCCAGTATCAAAAATTAGTGAATATCCATTTCTCAGTATCAAAAAATACTAAAACATTTCAAAAAAATCAGTTCTTTCGTGCGTGGAAGGTGTTTTAGTGCATGAGGTCCGTGCAAAATTTCAGCTCTTTTGGACATCTGAATAGCTCTCAGGAAAAAAATGGGTCCGAATAATACATGAACAATTCACTGTTTATGATAAAGGGTTTCCCCCGCTTTATATTATAAAGCAAAACAGTTTACTGTTTCACATACCCTAAATTTGCCTTTTTTTTGCTGAGAGTAGTATTCAGATGTCCTAATAAACTGAAATTTGGCATGGAACTCACGCACTGAAACATCTTCCATGAAAAAAAAAATCTTCTAATATTTTTAGTATTTGTTTTGATTTTACTATTCATGGCGGGTGTAGATCAGCTCGGGAGACAAAACGCCCTCCTAAAAAACTAGGGACATCTATTTATCAGTTGCCTTTTTAAAAAAATATCGACTTTTCAAGCCATTAGATTGAAATCCAACGGCTGGCAGTGCATCTTCTTCCCCTAGCTACTTCCATTACCCATGGTGCTGGTGATGTCGCAGAGACCTTGTTGCCCCACCCTACCCATACCACATATGTTATTGGTCATCCCTCAAAGCCCTACTTGTCTCCGGCGCAGGCACCGGCGCAGCTATCGCATCCCTTCCTCTTCCTCCCCTCAAGTGGTGACATCGTGATGAGTCGCCTCATCCTCGCCTCCAGTGAGGTCCTGGCGAGCCTTGTCGGGGACACCACAACCGCTCAAAGCCTCCCATCTTGATCTTGGGCAACACCTTCTTCTTCTTCCAACTCGGTTGACGTGAGATAAACTTTTCAAGCAATTGGGATTTAGCCATTTTGAACTTAGACCGTCGTAAAAATTGTGGGGTTCTTTTATATTTCGTAGTTCTTGCTTGGTGTCATGACCAAAATCACAAGTTTAATTTTTTTGGGAAACTTTAGCACAACATGACCCTATTCATAAGTTTAACCCAAGCTGATCCCTTTTGGCAACCCTACACACCATGGTGTTTGATTTGAACCGCGCAACTCCATTGCCAACGGCGTTCCCCCTTGGCCCATACTCGGGCAGTAACCTCTGACTGGGTTGACGTGGCCAAATCAAAATGCCATGGGGAGCAGCGTTTCAGACCCCGACTGGAACGCCAAAGGCAATGGCGTTCCCTTTGAAGGGGTCAGTAACCATTAGGCCACGAGTGGGCCTCCCACTGACCCACTCAGCCTAGCTTTCTTCCTCCTGTTCCGGCTCAAGTTGCAGCCCCCTCCCCCTCTCTCCCCCACTCAAACCTCTCCCAGATTTATTCAAATCGGTGACGTCTATATGTGGATTCGATCCCTTCTTCACCCGTTGAGTTAATCAATCACATCTCCCATGATTTTCTTGGCTGAAATTTAATTGTTTGGTGGCATTTGTAAAGTGTACCCAAGTTCTAGTTTTGAGGATTTCTCCCAAATCCATTACATAGTGGTCAGTACAGAGGAGGTGCACCTCCCGGCAGAGGTGCATATCGAGGCAAGAAGCACGGACGCTATCGTCATCCCCAATCTCTACACCAACACGGCCCTCATTGCCAAAATCTGCAATATCCTCGTGTCCATCGAGGACGAGAGGATGGGGGAGGAGATATTTTGTAGACAAGGACAAGTCGGCAATGATCACGAGGTCGGTGGCTCCGGCGAGGGGGTGATCCCAATCACCTCGGACGAGGAGTAGTTTACAGTATGTAATTTTTATTTCCATAGTTGCATCTCGTTTATCTATGAATCTGTGAAAGAAATTTTCTTGTAGCTTGTTTGCAGTGCTACGTTGCATTAGTTTGCTTGGTTTTAAAGGGTTCAAAAATGGAAGGCACCGTTGAACTGGCGCACAATTGAGGGGTCGGCGGGCGATGTCCGCGGATGCGTCCACGAACATATAGGGGTTTGATATTAGCCTATTCCGGTTGAAGATACCCAAAGGGACAAAGGTTTGGACCAGCATATAAGAGAACCTCACATGAAATCTTTTGATGAGAAGACAAGAGAGAACTATGCTAAGTGTACCCACACGTGCGCGCAAACTCGTGTCTGGCGAAGCGCGATCATGACGTGGGTAATTTACAGTTCCTATTTTGTCAATTAGGTCTTTACCTTATCCTGCATCGTTCTAAAGCACTATTCCAAGGATAACTATGCACATCAACATGCGGTTACTATGTCGTGGGTAGTGGAGATACGCCGGAGGTGGTTCATGGCATATAGCCAGCCGTTTTTTTCTATGAATTATCGATTTGATCCTATAAGAGGGAGACATCCCTCTCGAGAGAGTCACCACTCGAAACAACATCCTTCTGTTCTCTTCTACTCCCACAGCCACCAAGTCTCTTAGCTCCTCTCCCTGCCGACTACCGTGCAGTGGGTGAGGATACAACATTAGTCTTCGGATGTACCCGACGATCAGTGGCCTGCATGAGTAGTTTGGTGCTAACATTTTGGAAAGTGCTTGCACGACTTCTTCGCCCTTCTTCCTCGACTTCGTCTACATCCAGTACTTCCTCGACTCCCAACCATCATCTTCATCAACTACCCCACTGTAAGGGAAATTTCACCCCGTGATTCGTATTGTTCTTGGTCGATTTGCTAGCCGTGTTATTATCTGTGAATCTAGGTTTACCTCGTTAGTAGATGTATGCTGAATTATTTTTGGTGGGTCGAACTTTGTCATTCATGTCATTGAGAAGATTTGGAATTATATCAATGATGGCCATCACATTATTTCCAACATCTTGTTTGCTATTGTGGGATGTTTTATGTTGCTTGAGGATCTTGCTTGACCGTCGGCTGTTTTATGCTGAACATGCTTTAGGATGAGAGACCATCAGCAGCCTGACCTACTCGGCCGTAGGGTGATCATGTATGTACCAGCTGCTGCTACTAGCTAGTGGCAGTTCATTGGGTGTCATCAGCTTATGGTCATGGATCCATTTGACTGACAAAGTGCGTGTTTGATGCATGTGCTCTCTGTTTGCTCGTCAGGGGTAGTGAAAGTCAAAACAGGCGGTGTTGTTTCACAGTAAAAAAAAGCTGTTCCTAGATATTTGCTGCAGCTTTATATTGTACCTACATAAATGTCATTCTCCTGTATTTTTCTTTGTTCTAAACCAGCCATCCCCTACCTTTGTCTCCTTTCTATTTTCCGTATAAATGATGTTGTGTCATGTATAAATGATTTGATATCAGACATGCATAGACGATCAGCTGCAGTACAAAACCCCACACACCATGTGCAGAGAGCAGAGTGATCATGCATGAGTCACCGGTGCTACTCAACTGGTCGAAATCACTGTTTTGACCTTATCAGCAATCTTCGTCATAAAATGAACTCGATTTGAAAATATTTCACAATCTGACCTTTTTAAAAACGCCACAGCCCGCGGCGTTGCTGCTTCACGTAAAAACGCCGAGGTATACTGCGTTTCTGCTCTGTTGACATGGCAGGCAGAAACGCCGAGATTTCATGCGTTTCTGGAAACGACGCTATTGTTGGCGTTTCTGGCCAGGCTGCAACCGCCAAAGATCGTGGCGTTGCTGCCCATGATACAGTGATTTTGGCCTGCATGCAGCTGGCTAGCTAGTCACTAGGTCCAGTATCCCACAAAGCTAACATGCCTACCCTGTGTAGCCTTCACTGGTCCTACTCTCTTACACGAAATTCTTGCGTAGCCTTCACTGCTCCTGTCAATTCACTGCTCTTTGTGGAGATTAAATCTGTAGCAATTAGGGACCAAAGTGTGTTGTAGCTTCACGTGACTAGTACTAGTTGAGGTAGCACAAGCCGACCAATACTTGACGTGACAGTACTAGTTGAGGTAGTGGACAGGGAAGACGTGGCCGCACTTCTGAACACGTGGCCGTGCGATGGAACTCTTTCAACGGTGACGTGCGGCTGCAGCGGCAGCGTACCCAGCTTTCAACGGAATCGAACCCTGATAGGACAGATCGTACAAGCGGCTGCGGCGCACAGCAGAAATCGATCTCGATCTCCCGTCGGACCAGAAACGCCAGCGTTTGTAGACGAGCTAGAAACGCCAATAGTTCTGGCGTTTCCGGCGTGCCACGTCAGCAAGCGACCCTAGCTCGGTCTGGACGGCAACGCGAGCTACCTTGGCATTTTCATGTGGAGCAGAAACGCTGGCTAGGTCGTCGTTTCTATATGGAGCAGAAACGCCACGGTCAATGGCGTTGCGAAAAGGGTCAGATTGTTAAATAGTTTCGTTCAGAGTTTATTTTATGTCATAGTTTCCAGACAAGGTCAGAATAGTGATTTTGGCCTACTCAACTTTCGTGTCATCGATCAACTGATGCATGGAGCGTCTGCCTCAACTGCCTCAAGACAAGTACTACTGCCAGGCAGTTGCTGGTGGCAGGAGTTATCTCACTTCTCAGCCAAAGTGTGCGTTGAGTTTTTTTTTTTTGAAAGGAAGTGTGTGTTGAGTGTGGACTGAATGCATGTGGCTTCTGTTTTGCTCGTACAAAGTTGAAAACAGATCCTTTGTTTCACGGGTCATCAATATTTTGCTGGATTTTACCCAGATTTTTTTTGCTGGATTTTTGCAGCATACCAAATATTTTTCCCGCTAATTATTTCTTTTATTCATGAACCTCCACCATCTCTCTCTCTCTCTCTCTCTCTCTCTCTCTCTCTCTCTCTCCGCCCAAAAAATGGCATTCTGAGATTCAAATTTTGTTCTAGTACAAAACATGTCATTATAGCACCTTTTTGAAAAAAAAACACATTCAAAGAAAGGGCCTTAGAGGGTCAGTTGGGCCTTAATATATCTGAAATCTCCTACAATGTCAAATTTTATGAAAAGTTGAATGAAGTAGTGATTTAGTGTATTTTTTTCCCTTGGTGTTCCATTCTGCTCTTTACATGATTTCACATTTGCTTCACTAGATTCTATACAAGTAATAAGACACCTTTCTGAATAACAAAATGGATTTTACAGGAACTTGCAGGAGGCCACCACACTGGAGAATATTCCAGAATTACTAAACAATGACTTCACTAAATAATCTTTTCGAGGTCGAACCCTACTGGCTCAGACGCCATAACGACTTAACGAGCTACCACAAGATCAGCTGCATGCAGTACAAAACCGCACACACTTTACGTGCTAGCCGGATATGTTGTGTTCATAGATGTTTCTGTGATTTTCTTGTTCATATGTGCTAGTTGTATATGTTGTGTTCATAGCTGTTTTGGTTCTATGTACTGTACATGCTCACATGCTTAGGTATCGGTATAAAGTGCATATTGTGATTGTCATGTTTATTATCTACTTATGGATTAGATTAATCGATAAGGTGCTAATATTTCCGGCAACTACAAGATCAGCTGCATGCAGTACAAAACCCCACACACTTTGTGGGGGACTGGGGTTGATCATGCATGAGCTACTGGTGCATCCTCAACTTTGGTGTGATCGATCAAACTGATGCATGGAGCGTCTGCCTCAGCGACCTCAGTAAAAGTAGTACTCCCTCCGTTTCTAAATGTAAGTTTTTTTAGAGATTTCACTACAAACTACATACGGATGTATATGAATATATTTTAGAGTGTAGATTCACTCATTTTGATCCGCATCTAGTCCATAGTGAAATCTCTAAAAAAGACTTATATTTAGGAACGGAGGGAGTAGTATACTACGAGACAGTTGCTGCTGGCCGGATTCTCACTTGTCAGCCAAATTAAAGTGTGTGTTGGATGCATACGTGGCTTCCGTTTGCTCGACCAGTACAAAGTTGAAAGTGAAACCGATTCTTTGTTTCACGGTAAAAGGGTTGGTCAACCATATTTGCTTGATTTTCACGGCATGCGAAATTCTTTTCTCAATCATTATTTCTTAATTTCTTTATTCATGCATGAACCTCCACCATGTTTTCGAAAAAAGAAAAACTGCCTGTACAGCATTCCTTGTTGTGTACTACCTCGGTCCCAAAAAACTTGACATTCAAATTTTGTCCCACGTGAACTTCATATGGAGAAAGTAGTGATTTAGTCTCTTTTTTTTGCGTCTTGTGGGTTTGATTACGGCTCTTTAGACGATTTCACATCTGGCTTAATGAGATCTTAAATTCTGAAAGTACAAAGAGATCTTTCTAAATAACCAAATGGATTTTCGCTAAACAAAGACAAATTGCAAATGGAGAGCACACCACAGGGCAGAATGAACCAGAATTACTACTACTACTACCAGACAGTAGACAATGACTCGACTAATCTCTCTGAGGACAAACCCCGTAGTACTGGCTGCGACTCCCTAACGAGCTACTAAAACAGGCTAATGATGCGCGACATGAACTCAGTCATCCTCCGTTATTCCGTCCATCGACAAGGTCATGGATATGGCCGGCCTCACCGGCTAGGTGCCAATGCCCCTAAAGATCCTTGACGTCATGCTGCGAAGAGAATCACAGGGATAAGTAAGCATCAAGCATTAACACAACACAAGTTGAATCGCTAATGCAGCACGCGCCGAATTCATCTACCTCGGCGTGAGAGCGAGACTCCTCCTGACCATCGTTCGGCTTCGCCTGGCGAGCTTTGGAGTGGAAGGCATCCACGACGATCCTGCCAAAACTGCACACCAGAAGCGAAAATTCAATACGGCCGTGAGTGGTAGCAAGCAAGCGGAGCAAGATTCAGTATGTGGGCATGAATGATGGGTGTGAGGAGGAGGGTACATACGGATGGTCCTTGTCATACTCAATGTGGCCGATGTAGGCGTTGCCGGGGAACATGCGGCTCAGTTGCGCCGACTCCTCGTCGGTGCCCGGCTGAATCTCGATGGGCTGGCCGGACCCTTGGGCCGCCAGATGCTTCTCCGTCCAGCGGTCCAGCCACCGGGACTCCTCCTCGCTCGCGTACTGCGTGCTGATCCTGGGGCCCCTTTCCCCTGGATCCGCAGCTGCTGCGGCGCCGGCGCCGGCGGCAGCGAGGCTAGCTAGCAGCAGCAGGGAGATGGGGACGAAAGACAGCCGGGCCATCTCGCTTCTTTGGCAGCAGACTGATCTTGCGCAGAGTCTAGTCTAGTGCTATTTCTTCAACTAAGTCTGGCCTGTGCCGCCTGGATGTGGTCTATATATGGAGAGATGATCACGCCGGTGTGGCCTGCTAGTACAGTTGAGGATGAAGCAGTTGTGCTGTATGTTGCGCTGGTATTAAAAAATTTAAATTTCTCCAAGAAAGTATTAAGAGCAGCGTGGTTAGCTTCATACTCTACTTGAGCATGCTAATTATCAACTTAGCTTAATTTATGTTGAGGCATTCCCTGCATTGTTTGTTGAGGTCAAGTATTAGATTTTAAAAAATGAGCATTTTATTACTTAAAAGATTTAAGCATCACACCCAACATGATGAGTATAAGTAAAATGCACACATCCAAGCAAGATCCTCTCACACAAACAAAAAATAAAAAAGGCAAAATACAATGAGGCTAGAGTCCATTTGACGCCTAAAGCGTAGAGGAACGCCTAAAGTGTAGGGGAGCAATCCTAAGAACATGTTGCCACCCCTGTTGAGTAAATGTATCCCTCACGGTAGCCTCCAATCGTGTACACACCTCTGTAAGCAGGTATTGATTCTCCACGCGTTGTAGAGAGTATCTTAAACGAAGAGTCCCGGTACATCTGTAGATAACCTGCTTTAGAGAAGTACTTTTATCATTAAAAACCTTATCATTTCTACACAGACAAAGCGACCAAATAATGGCAAGCCCTCCCACCCTGAGAAGAGTTCTAAACATACGATCAACCCCATGTAACCAGTTGCCAAATACATTAGCAACATAACAAGGAGGATACAAGCCAGAAGCTATTTGGATGACTGACCATATAGAACGAGTCAGTTTGCATTGGAAGAATAAATACTTTATGTCTTATCATGGTGGCAAAAGACACATTGCGTACTTCCGTTCCAATTGCTCTTAATAAGGTTATCTTTAGTAACAATGACTCATGCCTTTGGGCATCCAGTGAGGGAGGCGCAATGACGGCAACACGCCTTTGGCTTGCTTCAGTGGTTGTAGTCATCGCTAGGTGATCTATGGATCTGGATTAATTTTTATTATTTATGATGTTCGTTGTACTGCCATGATTAAAGATAAATAGATCAGAATTTTTCCCAAAAAACATCTTCCTCGACTTTACCATTCAAAAATGCATGTTTTTATGTCCATCTGGTATCATGTAATATTATACTCCCTCCGTTCCGATTTACTCGTCGTGGTTTTAGTTCAAATTTGAACTAAAACCACGACGAGTAAATCGGAACGGAGGGAGTAGTGATTTTGGTAGGCAAAAAGAATGTCAATAGCTTCTAGTCAAGCAAAGAGAGCATAAGTTCCGAACCTTATACTTGAGTATATCACTAGCAAACATGCCAGTGTGTTGCAACGGGGAAACAAACCACCTAACCTAATAAGTATAGAAAACCAAATGATGCATCTAGTTAGTTCTTCGGTCTATACAAAATTGATATGACAATATTCCATGTACCGCGGGCATTTGTTCTCCTCTATATAGAGATGATGCACTTACCTGCAAAGAAGTATGCGCTGGTAAAACAAAAGGATATTATAATGGATATATTAAAGTCCAAGATCCATTGACAATAGGTAAAAAAGATTAATTTTTTCACACAAAAAGGTTAAAAGATTAAACAATTGATGTACACCTTTGTATAAATCTATGGAAAATCAAATGTACTCCCTCCGTCCGAAAATACTTGCCGAAAAGATGCATAAAAATGAATGTATTTAGAACTAAAATACATCTAGATACATTCATTCCTCCGACGAGTATTTCCGGACGGAGGGAGTATGAAATTACTCACCAAGATGCATGACGAAATAGTGACATACTCCCTCCGTTCCTGAATATAAGGTGCACCAGTTTTCATGCAACTCAAACTTATGTTTGTTTGACCAAGATTATAGAATGAAACATCAACATCTACAACACAAATAAATAAAATATGAAAATATTTTTCATGATGGGTGTAATGATAAAATTTTGTTATTGTAGATACTGATATTATTTTTTCTAAAAACTTGGTCAATATGCATAGCCTCATCTTGCTTGTTTCTAAACATGCACTTGTTGTTTTTTGTTAATTTTCATGACAAACCAAGAATATCAATTTACTTTATTATAGTAGGTATAGGCCACCAAGCGTGTTATTTTGCAGATAACTTGACCATCCTCATCTTGCCTGTTTCTAAATATCCACTTGGTGTTGACGATGTTATTCTTCCTATTGCGCTTCTCGATCAATGTATGTACATTGTTTCTTTGGAAGTTATGAAGCTCTTCTTGCATATCATTTACACATTCCGCATATTCAAGAGCTTCTTCCACCCTGAAAGATTCAATGGAATAGACAAAGGAGTAATGTTGTTAACAATTTGCGAGCCTAGTTTTTATCGAGTGATTCTCCCTTCTTTAATGTCTCCGAGGTTTGGTTGACAGAATGGTAGTTCTTCACTCTAGCCTTGACTCGTGGAAGTTTTTATTTTCAATATGAGGTTCTTCTTATTGTGGCGGTTGTTGATCCACTTCTCCATCTTCTTCGTTTGAAGGAGCCTCCTTGTTTGCTAGAGGTAACTTGCCCCATGTTTTGCTTTGGAGAGAGGACACGGCCCATAACGGAGTTCCCTTGTTAGATGAAGTGTGTTGATCGTGATCCCATCAAGGCAAACACAAGACACCAATACGATACATACACAGTTGGATACAATTAATCCATAGGTCCAGATGAATGTTGCCCATGGGAAAGGATGATTAACACGTTCATGCATTACTTGTTGTATGCGTGCTTAGCTTAGCAGCTCATGCAACGTTTTTTTAGAATGACGGGCAAACCAAACTAAACCAAAATATGAGCAAGATGTTTGAGTAGAGTCACGATGCTAACATACAAACTACACACACACACATATCACCTATATCACTAAGCTCCCTGGGGGTAAATCACCTAGGAATCGATTGGGAAGAGAAATTTTACCAGACCTATGCATAATGTATTGTCTAGAGATATTACTCAAGTCAAGTAGTTTGTGAAGGAGCGCTAGGGAGACTAGGTCGTATAAGGCCGCCGTTATTTATATGCTTGAGATGAGGTTATTTCTGATAGACTTAGGGATCTTGATTTCTTCAGGATTCAGTCCCAGATGGACGGCTGCGAGTTAACAACTTTATCTTTGTTCTCTTTCTGAAGTTTCTATTAGAACAATTGTTCTTTCTCTTGACTGAGTAATTTTATTTCATTGCAATTGCAATGGCATGATGCTAATTGTTTTGTTATTAGCTTATAGGATATTATTCGTACAAGAAGAAGTTATGGGAGTGGATGGGGAGCACACCACTCCCCCCCCCCCCTCTAGTCCCCTCTTTTTTCTGACTTATATCAGGTCAATATGCTCATTATTGAATTCCTTTTGTTGAGATCATTGTCAAGGCAGTGATGCTCCAATAACAATATAGATACAAATACTGAATCTATTCATAGTGTGGAGCAGTCTGCTATGAGTCCTCATGTTTGTTCCACTTCCATGCTGCAGCATCCTCTTACACATGTTTACCTTAAGGAACTCTTGCCAAAGAAGATACAAATGGTGAAGAGATGACCAATGTCTGGCTGATGATACATTGTTGTGCTCTGGGCATGTACAAAGAAAAAATAAACAACCATGGGTGTTTCTTTTACTAGGTGCGTACTGTAATTATTTGACATTTACCTTGCAGCTTTCAGATAACCTGAAGATATCCTAAGGTCATAAGCATAAAAAAGGTTATTTGACGACGAGCCAGTGTGGACGATCAAAGTGTTGGTAGTGTCCACCAAACCTAGCTTTAGGCATCGTACTAGCAGAAAAAAAAATGCAATTCTGTTATGAATATATGCCTCTTTCTAGGCGGTCTCCAAGTGAGTATTTAGCAAAAAACTACCACAATTTGTGAAACCGTGCCTACAAACTACCACTTTACAAATTTATGCCGAAAACTACCATTTTCTCACTAATCTTTGACTAAAAACTATCAAGTCTGGAAAGAGCCCGATTTGGCTCTTTTAAACACGTTTTTGATAGAGTTGGCCCACACATAAGCGGGCTAAAAAAGCAATCAGGTCCTTAGTTTTTTTTAAATGCAATCCGGTCCTTCAGCGACTGGTGGGGGCCGGCGGCTGCGTGCGCGCGTGCGAGGAGGCGCTGGGATGCGTGACGCGCGCGCTGGCCACGACTGTGGGTCGCGGCAGCCAGGTCCAGCGCGAGGGCCCTGGCGGCGTGGCGAGGAGGCTCGTGCTTTGGCCGTTCTGGTCAGGCGCGGCGTGGATCTAGCAAGGCGAGCTCGCGACGGCCCTGCGAGCTGCGCGTGCTCGGGGCGTGCCGTGGGGAGGATCCTGCTCGCGCTGCTGCGGCGGGCCGGCAGGGCGGCTGCTCGAGCGGCTGCGCAAGGGCTATGCGCGCGGCTGCTTGTGCGCGTGCGGCGGTGGGGCTGTGACGAGGTGCGGCTGTGCAGTGCGATGGGGCTGCGCGAGAGGAGGAGCTCGTGCCCGTGCTACTGCTGCAGGAGAAGGAGAGTTGGCAGAGGAGAAGGTGACGGAGAGGAGGCAGAGGAGAAGGAGACGGAGAGGAGGCAGTGGGGAAGGAGAAGAGGGGTTGGGCTGCTGCGGCTCAGCAAGGAGAAGTAGAGGAGCACGAGCACCGCCGCCACGACGCTCGCCGCTTGCTGGCCGGCTGGCTTGCGTGCAGCCGTAGCCGCAGCCGCCGTTGCCGCGAGCGTGCTGGCCAGCCGTGCTGGGCCTCGCCAAGGACTGGATTGTTTTCTTTTTAAATAAGGACCCGGTTGCTTTTTTAGCCCGCTTATGTGTGGGCCAACTCTGTCAGAAACGCGCTTAAAAGAGTCAAATTGGGCTTTTTCAGACTTGGTAGATTTTAGTCGAGGATTAGTGAGAAAATTGTAGTTTTCGGTACAAATTTGTAAAGTGA